GGAGGGACAGGGAAGGGGGAGGACAAAGGAAGGGGGAGGGAAAAGGAAAGGGGAGGGAAAAGGAAAGGGGAGGGAAAAGGAAGGGGGAGGGAATAGGAAGGGGGAGAGAAAAGGGAGGGGGGAGGGAAAAGGGAGGGGGCTCGTTGTCGTCATGGGCGCTCGTCGACGTCGTCGGTTGATGTGGTTGTCGTTGTCCTCGTCGTCCGTTGACGTGTGGCCGTCTCGTCGTCGCTGACGTGTCGTCCGTTGACGTGACGTGTCGTCCTCGTCATCCTTGTCGTCGTTGACGTGTCGTCCTCGTCGTCGTCCGTTGACGTGTCGTCCTCGTCGTCGTCCGTCGTTGTGCGTTGACGTGTGTGTCGTCGTGCGTTGACGTGACGTGTTGTCGTCGTCGTCGTCCGTCGTCGTCGTCGTCCATCGTCGTCGTCGTCGTCCGTCATCGTCCTCGTCGTCATCCGTCCTCGTCGTCGTCGTCGTCCGTTGACGTGTCGTCCTCGTCGTTGTCCGTCGTTGTGCGTTGATGTGTGGCCGTCCTCGTCGTCGCTGACGTGTCGTCTGTCGTCGTCGTGCGTTGACGTGACGTGACGTCGTCGTCGTCCGTTGACGTGTCGTCGTCCTCGTCGTCCGTTGACGTGTGGCCGTCGTCATCGTCGTCGTCGTGTCGTCGTCCAGGCGTTGTCCGTTGGCGTGGGCGTGATTGGAGGTGACCGCGCTGGTCGCGGTGACGGTGGTTGTGGTTGTGGTTGTGGTTGTGGTTGACAGCAAAACAGAGATGCTGATGGTGACGCCGGCAAACGCCGTGACTCATTTAGGAAGGTGGGCGTTGGGATGGGTTATATAAAATTAATGTTGCTAGACATTTAACAGCCATATGGTGTGGAGAGGCGCACCATCCCTAAATGGTTGCGGCTGCTTAGTCAGTGCACAGCCACCTCGAAACTGGCAAATCGCGCATGCATCCACTTCGAAACAAAAGTTCGAGGTATTTCAGGCATTCTACCCTGTAGAGCTGTGTATGAAACATGTAACATATAGTATATCAAAATCTAATCCAGAAATTGTTGTTGTCTGACTCATATAAGTTCTCTCCTGCAGTTTGATTGTTGGTGTCCATCCCAGGAAGTACCTGTCCTGCTATTTCCCTTGTATCCTCGAGCAAGAAACCTAGCGACAACCTTAATCAGCTCACAGACCCCCTTGGGCTTTGGCTTCATGTGCTCTTCAATGGCACCCTCTCCATGTGACCTCCACAGAGTCTTTCCCATTGTCAACCTTCATGCTTTCAAATTTTGGGACATGTAAGGTAAGAAAGTAACCTCTTCTGTAGGTATAGGAGGGTGCCGCAGGATATTCAGTGTTATGGGATGTGATTTTGCATAGTCAGTATGCTTTTGACGCGTTCTTGATGCGTATTATGTAATCCTTTAATTGGTCTTGTAGCCAATCAGCAATTATTACAGCCTTTCTCTTTCCTCCCTCGTGTTTGCCTCAAAATGAGTGCGTAAAAATGATGATCTAGCATTGCTGGAGGGAGACTTCGGACTACTTTTTTAAAATGTGTTTTCTAAATGTCATTTTTCGATTAAATTCCTGGTCCCACACCCGAATTTAAAAAAACGAGTCCAAAGACTCCCTGCGGAATTGATATTTGATTCGATTTGGCCATAAATCTGACCCAAAGAAGAGGCCATGCGCTAAAAAAGATGATTTCCGTGAAAATCAAAGAAATTGGCAGTAATACAACAAGTACAAACAACCTACAGCCCAAAGGGGCGATGCGCCTCTCCATATGGTGTAGCGGAAATATCGCTGCTCAGAGATTCACGTGATATTTCCCGAGGCTAGAGTTCAATCCTCATGCATCCACTTATTTTTTACATATATTATAATAACAACAACAAATATTGGAATTCATTGGAATCTCTCGGAATCTGTTGGAATTTGACTGGAATATATTAAATGTACTTTCCATTGGAATTCCATGGAATCTGGTTGGAATTCCAATGGATTCCAATGGAAACTGTTCCGGGAGGCTCCCGGATTCCAACCATTTCCACTGGATTCCGTCGGATTCCATTGGAATTTCCATGGAATTGGAAACCAGAATGGCTGAGGCTCCAGCCAACTGGTTTCTGTCAGAATTCCATGGAATTCCAACATTCCACTTGGAATCCGCCGGATTCCGCCAGAACTCATGGGGGATGGTAAAGACCTCCTTAGACCTTAGAATTTCATACAAAAGTGATGATTGACCATACATATGGTATTGATAACTATATACAAAAAGTATTGAACTAATCTAAGGGAGAGGGAGGTATGGTGGGGAGTGAGAGAGGGGAGGGAGTGCAGTGATGGAGGGGAGAGGGAGTGCAGTGATGGAGGGGGGAGGGAGTGGAGTGATGGAGGGGAAGTGAGGGAGGGAGGGGGGAGGGAGTGCTGTGGGAACGACAAAGGCTGCAATGCCGTTCGTCGTTGTGGGCAATCGTCTTCATACGCAGGCGGTCGTTTTTGTATGTGGGCGGTTGTTTCCGCGTCGCATCACGTTGTGTTGTCATCATCATGTCGTTGTGTTGTCGTTGTTGTTGTGTGTCGTCGTCGTCGTCGACATGGTGTGTCGTGTCGTCGTCGACGTGGTGTGTCGTCGGCGTCGTCTGTTTGTATGTGGTTGTGGTTCGTGCCATTGGGTGGTGGTGCTGGGCCGTCGTTGCCGTTGCTGGGGGGGGTCGTGCTGGGCCGTCGTTGCCGTTGCTGGGTGGTCCTCGTCGCCGTTGTGTCTCATTGTGTTGTCTGTGCGTACCGTTGTCGTTATGCCGTTGTCGTCTCGTGTCGTTGTGTTGTGCCGTCGGGTGGTGGGGAGTCCTTGTGGGAGGTGGTGATGGGCCGTGGACGTGTCGTTGTCGTTTGCGTCGTCGTCCTGGGTCGTCGTGAGCTGGTTGGGATGAAGAGGGACGGGGGGTACTTACCATACCTGATGTGGATGGCGACGACGTCGTGCGTCGTCACCGTCAGACGAGGAGGCACGTCCACTGACGTGCCGCATCGTTGTCGTCACGATCCGGTGGGCGCTCGTTCATTTGCGGGGATGAGGAGGGGGGGGGGTAGTTGTGGAGGATGGTTGTAGTTGAGGAAGAAGAGGGTTGAGGGTTTGTTGATGGCACTAAATTGAGTGTCGGCATTTGCCGAGGCTCATTTGGGAAGGTGCAGCCGAGAGCCACTTGTATAAAGTAATAATTCTTCAGCTTATAATGGTTCTATGGCTCAGTGGTAAGCATGCTCTTCTTTAGTTGTGTGATGTCTGCTGAGGCTATGGTTCAATCCTTGCTCATGTCATTATTTTTTATATTATAATAACAACTGTAATCACTGCATTTCTTTGGAATTCCATGGAATCTGGTTGGAATTCCAATGGATTCCAATGGAAACTGTTCCAGGAGGCTCCTGGATTCTGACCCTTTCCACCAGATTCCGTCAGATTCTGTCGGAATTTCCATGGAATTGGAAACCAAAATGGCTGAGGCTCCAGCCAACTGGTTTCTGTTGGAATTCCATGGAATTCCAACATTCCTCTTGGAATCCACTGGAATCCGCCAGAACTCATGGGGGATGGTAAAGACCTCAGAGCGCGCTCTTCTCTGTTTGCCGCCCACTTTTTCGCCTTGTGTCCATGATGTATGCATCAATCTAAAACTGGTCATGATTGGCAGGTAGAAGCTTGAGGCGGAAAGTGCGTACCCAAGCTTTCGAGCTTTCTGTGCCTGTGATGATTGGGGATGTTACTCAAGACGTTGTGCTGGATGAAACTGAACTCACCCAACGTATCGATCTCCATAGAATCCTCGTGTGGCCCATCGTCACTCTCTTCACCTGGACCGTTGTCTGTGTTCTCGAATCTGGTTGAAGGACTCTTGCATCGCTTTTGCGACGTCGACCATTTGGTCCGTCCCAGCGACAACGGCGCCTGCAGCTGACAGACTGGGGGTCTCTCTTTCTGTCTGTTGGCTCTCGTTACTGCTTGGTATCCTTCGTTAGCATGAATTGACTCCTGCACAGAAGGCCGAGACGACATACCTGGGTTTGGGCAAGCATTGCTGGTCATGCTTTTCAAGCTGCTCAACAAGCTCGCCCTTCTTCCCACTGACCTTGAGGTTCCACTCACAGCATAGGCTCTTTAGAGCAGGGACATTCAAAGAATAGCTGTAGAAAGTAAATAAATCAGCAAACGTTCAGTACTAACCATTGCAGTGCTTACTAGAGTTTTTTTGTGCTCTTCTCATTTGAAACCCAGCCTGCATGAAAACAAGATGTGAGCTCCCATTGAACGATGTACCACGGCACATTGAAGGCTCTTGCCTTGTCCTTTTGAGGTTCTTGCTGGTCCACTGGCAGGCTGTCTCAATGGCAAAAGCAGGGCTGAGGGGAAGGAACAAGGTTTGAACGCATTCAAAGAGCGCTGATGCCCAACGCACCTTCTGCTTCGGGAACGGCTGTGGCGATGCTTTGGGAAGGTGCAGCTACAGATGCCAATTTTTGATGGGCAGACTCTGGAAAAAGCACTGGATCAATGTTGAAGTTGTCCGTCTGCTGAGGTCGTTGTCTGGAAAGCGGAACGAGGGCGTGCTCATGAGTGTATGACATGACGACGAGGACCTTGGAGTGGAGAATACTAATAATAATATTTATTGAATTATCTAGATAGTATGCTAAGTCAGCGGGAGGACTTGGCCTGGTGATTTCCAGACCCTAATCCAAGTCACAGTTTGATTGTGATCTGCCAGCGAGATCACACACCCGAATTGTGATCTAGGGCCAAGTACTTCGCTTAGGGTTCTTTGATCCCAAAATCGTGAATTTTCCCAATTTTCCTCTGGACAGAATTTCCCAATTTTCCTCCGGATATGGGATCAGACATAGGAATTTCCCAAAATTTATCCGGACATTACCTCAGGCATGGTGTATGTTTGATTTTTTTTTGGCTGCGCAGGTAAGGTTCCTGGCACCCAAAGACCTTGAATTTCGATGTAACATGTCATACCCAATCTTCTCTCATTTTCGTCTTCATCTGTTCCCATTTCAATTAATTCACTCAAAATGGGGGAATATTGGGGGAATATATTCACTTTGTCCCATTTTTATCCGGACTGAGATCAGGCCCCCCTTGGCTTAGGCAGTTTTTATCCGGACATTCTCAAGCATTTGTCTAAATTTCTTCGATTTTCCTCCGGATAGGCCTGATGGCTATCCGATTTTTTTTCAACATTTCCTCCGGATACGGATCAGGGATTTGATACCGATTTCCAGGGTCCTTCTGACACCCCTTGCCCGAAGGCCCCCAACCTGCAGTACGTTTGATTGCCGATGTGTCATTCCAGGAACATCGACCTCTCATGGCTCACTTTTGAAATACGACAATAATCATCAACTGGCAACATCTTCACCTCCATCGTCCCAAATGCCCCATCATGCGTACTTGGTGCGAAGAAGCGATTTTTCTGGGCATCGTAATGATCTGGATGGTTGTCATTTTGGGTTCGCCGGTACGTTCACTCTATTCCCATCCTTTCTTAACTGACTAATACTGTGGATAACTATTGATTTAGAGCGACGATCTGCAACGGCCATGCGGAATTATGTACCCGCCGATACTCCAACGTCACGTTTATGGGAGCGCACGACTCATTTGCGTATAGCATCGACCCATTAGCAGTATGAACTCAAGGATTCTTGAACCGTAACATATGCGTTTCTGACGTTCGGATCTCATCCCTCACAGTCGCAAGAGATCAAGAGGTCGATATCCCGACCCAGCTAGCTCTTGGTGTTCGCCTATTGCAAGCGCAAGCACACCTGCACGTTATTGCTTTCATTGCCTCTACTTTTTAAATCCTCGCTCATCCACTCAACAGAAACAGGAAGGGGGTTCAAGGGGGTGCCGGCCCGGGAATCCCGTACCAGGACCCGGTTAGTTAGTCCAGCCACAGGCTGTGAAAAAAAAAAAAAGGATGCCTTGGGCAG